ACAAAATAAATAATACAGAGAAGTATGATTTTCCTGGAAGTAGTTCATATACAATTTTCTTATGAAATATTTCTTATAAAACAACAAAAATCTTAATAAAATAAAATACTGAATAATGATCATTTTCAAGATGTGAAATAATACTGTATTATTGATTTTACTGAGTTATTTTATTATTTAATAAAATGAGAATTAGTAAGATTCAGCTATAAATGTAGGTGTTAAGTAGTGAACTAAATTGCTAAAACATAATGAATTCTGAACACCCAGCAATATTGTTAATAAAATTGTATTTATCTCTAAGAACCAGAACAGCTGAATAATCATGTTTGCATTAGATTTAGTATAGGCACATTTATGTCTTACTGGGGCAGAAGTGATTGTTTATAGTGTACACACTCTAAATTGTTTCAGAGAATGAGTGTGGCTGTAGTATCTATTAGGACCACTGACATTTCTCTAGCCAAAGATGCAAAATTTATTTGGAAAAGTAAGAAGAAAACTTAACAGGGAAAACTCAGTCAAATTGGTCGTTGTTTGGGGTTGGGTGGGGTGGAGAATTGAGATGATAGATAAAGGACATGAGGTTTCTTTTTTAGGGCATTAAAAGTTTAAAAACTCATTGCGGTAATGGCTTCACAACTCTGTGGGGATACTAAGAAATCTTTGAATGACAGACATTAAAATGTGGATTGTGTGGTATGCGAATTACATCTCAATAAAAGCTATTACAAAACAAAAAAACTCAATCATTTTTCCTGAAGTTAGAAATATTTTACTTTTACATCTCCAAACATTGCTAGTAAGCTGTGGGGTTCTTTTGTCCCTAAATTCAAGTGATAGACAACGTCTTCATTCCTAGAATCCAGGAAAGGCTTTTTTTTTTTGAGTTGGAGTCTCACTCCATCGCCCAGGCTGGAGTGCAGTGGCATGCTCACAGTCACCCCAGCCTCAACCTGCTGGGCTCAGGCAATCCTTCCACCTCAGCCTTCCAAGTAGCTGGCACTACAGACACGTGTTACCACACCCGGCTAATTTGGGGATTTACTGTGGAGCTGAGGTCTCTCCAAGTTGCCCGGGCTGGTCTTGAACCCGTGGGCTCAGGCAATCCTGTCACCTTGGCCTCCCAAAGCAGGTAAGGATTTTTTAACATGAACAAACCTTTTTCTGGAAAATAACACAAAAAGAGGTTATAAAGGAATTTGGAGAGGAAGCACAGAGATAAAGGATATCAGTCTATACCTATAATTTGTGCTAGTACAAATACTGAACACAAAGCTTCCTTTAAGGTTAAATGATTTGTTGAGAAGCAATGTGGTATAAAATAATGACAATAATTATGGTTAATATTTGCTTCATACTGATTGTGTGCCAGGTATAGCACAAAGCATAAAAACTGCATTTAATAAATACATTAACACATTTAATCTCATAACCTCTCTATTAGCTAGAATACACACACACACACACAAACACACACACACTCATATTGAGTCAGGGGTCTCACTCTGTTGTTCAGGCTGTAGTACAGTGGCACAATCACAGCTTACTGCAGCTTCAACATCCTGGGCTCAGGCGATCCTAACGCCTCAGTCTCCCAAATAGCTGGGACTACAGGCACATGCCACCTTGCCCAGCTAATATTTTTTTTCACTTAAAAAAAAAATTTTAAAGATGTGGGATACAATTCAGGGTTAGGTACATAAGTGGTCATCATACAGGTGAAGTTTGGGCCTCCCATTGGTCCTCACTTCACCTGGTTTGGGATCAGGTACTCTTATTAATGTGATGTGCTCCGCCCCCTCGCCCCCCACCCCAACGGCAGTGATGAGCTACTAACAATCTCCTTCATGTAGAATTATGAGAAATGCTCAGGGTCTACTTATGAGTGAGAACATGTGGTACTCAGTTATTTGTCTATTCAGCTGGCTAATTTTTTTATTTTTATTTTTTGTAGAGGCGAGGTCTTGCTATGTTGCCCAGGCTGGTCGAACTCCTGAGCTTGAGTAATCCTCCTGCCTTGGCCTTGCAAAGTACTAGGATTACAGGCGTGATAGCTAGGTAATATTGATAATTCTATTACAAATAAAGAAGCCTAGGATTACAGAAGTTAAGAAATTTGTGCAAGATTATACATTTGAGCAGATTATAAAACTGCCGTTTCTAGTCAGTTCTGTTTTACCATAATGGTCATCTCTCTTTGCATGGGAAGCTATGTAATATAAGTTACTAGGCTCTAAATTCAGTAAACATAGAATAAGTAGCTCTCTTTATTACACCCCCCAACATAGGAAACCTGAAAGGTAGTGAGACCAACCAGTCTAGTGAGACCAACCAGAAAAAGTAGAGTGTGGCAAAAAATGTTCTATGTTCATCAGATGTCTATTCTTCTTCTTCCTGGAAGCATGGCTAGCCTAAACGTCCAGTTTCCCTGGCAGTAAGGTGAGGTCAAATGACTGAGTTCTGGCCAACGACATGTGGGTAAAAGTGCCTTGCTTACTTCTAGGCCTGGCTCTGATAGAAGGCCCTGGGTCTCTGAATAGCTATGTGGAGTAGACATCCTTTTTATACCATCACCCTATTTTGGATTGAGGAAGAAGCAACTAATATTTTATTTTATTTTGTTTTGTTTTATTTTATTTTATTTTTTTGAGTTGGAGTCTCACTCGGTCACCCAGACTGGAGTGCAGTGGCTGCTCCCGGCCATCACTGCTGGGTTCCAGTGATCCTTCCGCCTCAGCCTTCTGAGTAGCTGGAATTACAGACATGCGCAACCACGCCCGGCTGATTTTTTGATTTATTGTAGAGATGAGGTCTCGCTGCCCAGGCGGGTCTCGAACCCGCGGGCTCAGGCAATCCACTCACCTCAGCCTCCCGAAGGCGCAGGATTACAGGCTGAGCCACCGAGCCCGGCTAAGCAACTACTATTTTAAATATCATTATCCTACCTGATCAATAAGATGTGGTTAGTTTGTTCAACATACTTGGAAATAATCTTTGTCTCATTTGAAGATTTAAGTGAGAAATAAATATAGCAGGATGATAGGGTGGAAGCAGAGAGATAAATAGGAATTTGAGACTGAATTTGGGTATAATGGGGCAAAAAAAGAGAATGAATAGACACATAGTTCTGAAGAAACGGGATTTAGAACTTTTTGAGAGAAAGAATGCTTAAGAAAAAAACATGAAGGTGAAGTGAGGCAAAAGAACTTGGAGAAAGAGGAGGATTGATGTTGAAGATCTAATTTTAGTAAACACACAAAATCATAGGAATGCAAAACTATGGTGAGAAGGTAAATGAAACTTAGTAGAAGGTAGAATAAGAAGTGGGATGCTTCAGTGAAGAAACTCTATTTGTCCTGCTGCATGCTTCCAGAAGAGAATGTGGGGGTGAATACTAAAAAGCCAACAGAAAGACAGGCTTGTCAAAAAGAAAGCACTACTGCAGAAAGCCTTAAAGCCATTCTTGGTGTCAGTCATCACTCCATACCCAGCGTGACTCAGTGGCTACTTCTTTACTCCCACTCATCCTGGATGTGGCACTTTAGCCACAGCCTGGCCCCAACATGGACTCTAATGATGCTGCAGTTGCTAGTCCTCCTCCTTCCTCCTGCATGAGCATTGCATCCTGCATAGGCAGACAGTCCTCAATTTTCCATGGGGATTTGTGCATGTCAACGTCTGTGTATATGAGTTTGTAATCTATGAGTCCTGTGGTCTCTTTCCGCTCTACAGGCCAGTGCTTCTCAAAGTTTAACATGAATAAAAATCACCCAGACACTTCATGGTCTCATCTTTTGGAAATTCTGATTCAGCAGGTTGGTGTGTGTCAGAATCAGCATTTCTAACAAGCTCCCTATTGGCACTGACATTGTTGGTCCATGGGCCACACTTTGAGTAGGGCTGCCATTGAGGACTCCACCAACCACACTAAATATATCATCTTCTTTCCACCCCAGTTGCACTGCCCCAGCCCAGGTCCCAATTGTCTAGTGCTAGCTAGACAACCACTCTTTCCTCTCTTTCTTGGTAAAATACCAAGGAATGTAAGACAGTGAGCTGATTATTGCTATAAGAATGACCTTAATTCAATATATTCACATTTAGGAAGCATATCTTGCATAGCCTTTGATTATTTTAGTATTGATGATTTCTCACTTTCATTATTTCTATTAACAAATCACCTTACACCATGGTAGGCCAAGACATTTTTGCTAAGAACCATGCAGGTCTTTGCTCTTTGTTCTTCCCATATATCTCTCCTCATACTTTTCTCTTCACATACCTCAAAAAATCTTAACAAACCTTGCATTTTTCTATATCTTTCCCTACTCTCAATCTAGTTGCACATTAAAAATAACCAAGGAGATTTTTTTAAAAAGCATGGTGACTCCCTAAAAATATTTTTAAAATCTTCCCAGATTACCTGATGCACAGCTAAAGTTGATAACCCCTGTTTCTGGCCTTTGTTCCTCAAACACCCTTTCCCCTTCCCTTCCATTTTTCAGCTATCAAAATCCTAATCATTCTTCAGGGTGCAATTCAGATATTACTTCTTCCATGGAGGCTTTTCCAAGCATCTTCTCTCCCTGGTCAATATGAATTTTTTTTCCTCACTGTGATCCTAAAACTTTTGTTTCATGCTAATGCTGGTAGATAGTATTTTACATTGTAATATAATTAAATTTCCTTCTCCCCAGAACATTTGTGAATTTACTAATGCCAGCAATTTCATGCATTCTTCTTTAATCCCTAAGTCTTAACCTAACATTTGTATTGTTGAATTAAATTTAACTGTTCAGAAAGTGAAAGAAGATACTATTAATTTCTCCTTCCAAAACATCTAGAGGTACAGATTCATAATTAGTTAATGGGTCATACTTGATTTCAAAAATAAAGTATTCCATGGTGGTAGTATTGTGGGGGGGACCCAATAAAATCTGGCATTATCTTTTTGGAGGCCAAGCCTCTTGCAGTATGTTTGGAATTTGTTCTTCCAGATCAGTGATCAACCAAAGATTTTATCTGGAAGTTCTGAGAAAGTTGCATCACGATTTGTGGAAGAAACCTACCGAGTTGTGGCAAACAGGTGACTGGTTTTTCCACCATTACAACACACCTGCCCACATCACACTGAGTGTTCAGCAGTTTTTGACCAAAAACAGCATGACCCCATGCCCCACCTTCTCTATTAGCCTGATCTTGCCCTGAGCGACTTTTTTGTTTGTTTTGTTTCCACAGATGAAAAAAGTCCTTAAAGGGGAAAGTTTTGCCAATTTGAAAGTGGTGAAAAAAAAAAAAGGCAGAAGCATTGAAAAGCATTAAAATTGATGAGTTCAAAAACTGTTTTGAGTGGTGGAAAAAGCATCCCAATAGGTGTATTGCATCAAACACTGAGTACTATGAAGGTGACTGAAGTTTAAACATGTAAGAATAAATGCACAATTTTTAAAATAAATAAATTCCATGTTTTGTGTCCCCAATTTGATTAGAATTGGCCAATTAACCAGAACCAGAATTTTTTAGAGGTAGCAGGTAGAGTTTGATTTATTTTCACAGATATCTTTCTAAGACACTTGCTTTTTTCCAGTCATATTATTTGCTTTGTATGAGAATGTTCTATGTTCGAGTTCTAAAAAAAAAGAGAACACAATCCATCAGTACTTGAAAACTCAGCCTTGTCTTCACAGAGATGATAATCAATATTAATTGCATTATCTTCAAAGGAGAACTCTGGGTGTATAAAGTTTAAGCCTAAGACTCTGACAATCCCTCTTATTTCTCTCATGGCCTTATTTGCTATATATATATGGTACAATTCAGGATTAGGTACATAAGTGGTCATCGTAAAGATGAAGTTTGAGCCTCCCTTTAGTCTCCACTTTGCCTGATTTGAGATCAGGTACACTTATTGATGTTATGTGCCCCCTACCTTCACAGTGTCCCGCTACTAGCTACTAGCACAGCTAGCAAAGTGGCTATTGGCTTAACACGATGTAACAATGTAAGATTACTTCTTACTCAGATTAGGTACAAAGTAGGTGTTCCAGGTTGTCAGATGGCTTTTTTCCAACTGGTGATTCAAGAACTCAGGCCCCTTCTACCTTTTACTCTGTTACCTTCAAGGAGTGGCACACAAAGTTTCACTGTGTGAACATCCATCCAGCAGATGGGAGCAGATTTCTATGGGCTGGGACTAGAAGAGGTACTCATGACTTCTGCTCACATTCTAGTGACTGGATCTCAGGCATGTGGCCTCATCTAACTGGAAAGGAAGCTGAGAAGTTTAGCTGTTTGCCAAGAAAGAAGGGCAGATAGTTTAGGGGAACAACCTCTGCTATACTCATTAGAAAGAATCAGACAATTTAAAAATATGGTAGAGGATCCTTAGATATTATCTGCTCAAACTCAGCATCCAAATATGTCTTTCATAGTGTCTTTTATAAAACCACAAACTGGTACCCTCCAATCTTTCCCTAGAAATTTTAAGTAATGTAGAAAATCATTAGTTTATAAGACAGTGCAGTATGCACTTTGAAGATGCTTTATACTCCTTATACTACATAAAATGCAATAGGACCAGATTACAACAGCATGGAAAAGTTAAGTATTCTAAGACAATAGAAATATTTGAAAGTGAGTTTGCTTTGATAGTCATTAGGCAAAGTCCTTAACATATTTTTGTAATCCCTGTGACTTCTTCTTAATGCATTTCTAATTTCCTTGATAAAACCAGGACAAATGATCATTTTTTTTTTTTTACATAAATCACAGTGTCACTTAAGGTCAATGTTGGTTGGTGGGCTTCAGTCATATTTTACTTCTCATTAAAGCCGTCAGACTGAAAATTGTGTCCAGAGGTAATGTTTTGTAACTCTGGTTTAGGAGTAAGGCTTCAAGGATAAGCTGCTTCTCTCTATGTATATCATCTTTATGTCTCCAGAAATATTCACAAATTCTTGTTGATTACAGCAATATCTACAGTTCAAAGAAGAATTCAAACCACAAGCTATTCTAACATCTGTTTTGGTTTTATGGTCAATCTGAATAGTTGTAATTTACATTCACTGGCACCATACAATGAAGTTATTTTCGAACTACTGTATTTTGGTAAGAAAAAAAAGGTCTCCTCGTACTTGGATCTTGAACAAAGTCTTAACTATCCATACCAACAAAGAAGAAAATTTCATGAATAATCAGTAATAATTTAAAAACTCAACAGAAACCATGGTCTTATTTCCTCTCTGCTTCCCAGCCTTTATGGGACCTCCATTGCAGTTCATTACTAGTTTAAGGCCCCAACAGAGAAACTCATAAGAAGTCAGAGAAAAAACAATAATAGAATTAGAAGAGAATCAAAGGGGCCTGGTGAAGGGATAATGACCTCCCATAATTGAGAATGAGTGCAGCACAGGAATTATTGCTAAATGGAAACAGAATGCATTATTTTCAGACCACCCAATAGTTATGATAATTCATTTGTGCATGGGGGTGCCTAGTCTACAACCCCAGTTAGGTAGTCCCTTAAACAGATATTCTTTATCTCTGTAAGGGACCTCTCTAACCCTTTTGATTCTCTGCCCAATGGTGTCCACATCAGCCAGGTTCCATCAACTGCCTTTTCCTTACTAGAGAATTTGAATCAGTTTTATTTGTACTAAATCCTGTGTAATAGGGATAATAAGCAAGCTCAAAAGCAGGGCCAGGAAATTGTTACATGATATGAAGAATAATAGTTACCATTTGCTGAGCACTGGGAAGGTGCCTGGATTTGTGCAGTGTCCTTTGCCATATACTATCTCATCTTCTTAAAAAACTCTGTGTTTTTCCTGTTTTGGAGATGATGGCTTGAGGTACATAGATTACATGTGTGACATTGAGCAAGTCACTTAATGAGCAATGGAGTTGTGGTTCAAAGTCAGCTTCACCTAACCTCAAAGAGCAGGCCCTTCACTGCATTCCTTCTCCCGTTTTGGAGTTCCTTTGTGCTCTGTGCACCTCAGTGACTTAGCCTAGATTCCTGGAGGACTTGGCACCTGCCACCCTTCCTGGGTCTGAACGTCTATGGCTACTTACCCTCTCGTTCCTGACCCCAGTGCCTCTCTCTGGCATTCAATACTTCCCCTATTCCTGGTCCCTGAGCTCTTGTACCCCTAACAGGCTGTTGCACAAGCAACTGCCAGACAATGTTGCTACCATCTTTTATTAGATTTGACACCCTTGACTGTAACACCTATCCTAATTTCAGAGATGTGAAAATGTGAATAATAATAATAATAATAATAAATCACTGGAATTGATGAAATACCACAGCAAGATTCCAAACTTACAACCATATGACTTGTTCTATGAGGATTTCTTGTGAATGAGAAATTGAAAAGTCTTGACACGATTACTTTAAAGCTTTAAGTGAGCATAGTATATGTTACAATGAAAACTTGATTGGGGGTGTGGAATCAGAGAACATATCTAGAACTGGTGGTTCTTCTTTTGTTCTCATATTACGTTCCATGGCCTCATTACTTATATCCTAGGCATGTGTTGTGTTAATGCCTACACTAGACTGTCTGTATCAACTTAAGGTGCTGGTTGGTGTTCACTATAAACTAAAACATCAGGAAATACCTCTTCAGCAATATCAACACTCACTTTGATTTTGTGATTTTCTTTACTAATTTGGTACATAAACTTTGTTTGCATCTGGTTGTCTTATCTGCAATTTAATGACGCAAGTTAGTTAATTCGTGAATGTAACCCATGACATCCACACACATTCTTAAATAAATTGACTTTAAAAATGAAATAAAAACATTAGCGGTGAAACTGAACCTTGGTTTTTATCCCAGTGACTGTGCAAGTACTTGTTTATTTTTATTTACAGTTTGAGTCAGTGGGAGCCCCAACAGAATGAAAGCATTTGATGTGCTGTTATGCACAAGAAGCTTGGGCTGAAAGGAGGTGAAGAAGACGTAAAAGACATCTGTGCTGAGACACACAGATAGTGTATGTACAACATTGGGCCTGTGTCTCCATCAGTGTAGGTTTACAGGGCTGCATCTTCGTTAGTCACTGAAGGCTAGAGAAAAAGTGGTAACGTCTGTATGTAGGAGTTATTTTTCCCCTCTTGCTTTGCATTCTTACACAATTAAACTAAGTATCCAGGTAGGACGTTCATTACTGGGAAAAGTCCCTGGGGCAGAACATAGCATGCAGTGTCACTTTAGTTTATTAGTTACCACTTAACTATTCAAGTTAGGGAGAAAATTCTCAAAGTACACCCCATGTCTGTTTAGTTTGTAACTGATTAACACCCCCCAATGCACACATAAAATTTGCTCCCCTCTATTCCATATCCAGCTTTTAGAATGTTGAACTTGTAGTACACAGAGGCCAATTTTCAGGATTGTTGAAGCGCTGCTGTTTAAACTATAATAAGTTTGCTGAAAAGCTGCTAATGCATTTCTAGGAGCTCTTGTGAAAAGCTCTTCTGCATTTAGAATGTGTTAACAGTTCTGGACACACACAGTGTCCTAAGACAAAATGAAAGTGGAATGATTTGCTGTTTTAGGGAACATGCAGGCCATTTCCTCCTTGGACTCAGTGTGACATACATTTATGAGGGTGTGTGGGCAAGTGTCCCCAGCTGGCTTTCCTAAGCCTGTCTATCTGCACAGTGCTGTGTTCTGAAGCAATAGCTCTGAGTCCCATCACATGCCTGAAAACTGCAACCCTCATAGGGGGGACATGCAGGCATGCCAGGGGACAGAGAAAGTCTTCTGCAGAAGTGTGACAATTCTGAGAAGCTGAGATGTAAATGGATGCTACACTTGGGAACAGGCGCCATCCACTGGTGCCTACAGTAACCAATGATGAGGTGTGATATCATTGCTGAATGTTTGTGGTGAAAGAGAAAAGTATCCAACACCAATGGGGCAGCTAAATTGATCTCCACCCTGGTCAAGAGTGTCTGAAACCTGCTCAAATGGAATAATTCATTTATTAATTCATTTGTTCACTCAATAAGCAATTAAAGAATGTCTACATCATAAGGAAGCCAAATATCATCTGATCTTGGCTTTTTTTTTTTTTAGCTAACATTAGCTGGACTTTTAAACTATAATTGTCCTTTTTCACACAGTAAATGAAGAAAGACAAAAAATAAGGTTTATAAAAATGTACAATTACCACATAATCAGTAAAACTTTAGGGCAAGATTGTAAAAATAAATAAATAAATAAATAAAAGATCCAGTTGTCCTGTCAGGGAAAAAGACCTGAAAGACCCAAAATATGTATCACATCAAGGTTAGCAAATTAGAAATGAGTCTTACTAGGCAAGCACCCCTTGGAAAATTCTTCCTCTCCAGTAGCTGAAGAGAGGGAGGGAGGGAGTAAAGGAGCGAGAAGAGAGAGAGAGAAAGAGAGAGAGAGAACGAGGACTTTGTGTGTATGTGTGTGTCTGTGTGTGTGTGTGTGTGTGTGTGTGTGTGTGTGTGTGTGAGAGAGAGAGAGAGAGAGAGCATGACAATTCCATTTGTGATTTCATCACCATGTTGCATAATAAGTGATAATCATAAACTTATCAAATGTCTGATTTTGAAGGAATCTAATAGATCAAATAATAATTCATCCTCTTAATTTACAGTTGGGGAAAATAATACTTAGAAAGTTTATTCATCAGTGCCAAAGTCCCAACCTTGTTAATCTTGAACTTACAAGTTGATACAGGTTTGGTTCCTGGCTTCAGAGGCATTTGGAAATCAGGGTATATTTAATGGGACCAGAAACGGGAAACCAAGAGGTTCAAAGTTTCCATTGTCCAATATTCATGATGGAGAGAGGGAGGGAACTTGGGTGAAAACATCATGGTCATGGCTGAAGTGGTTTTCCAAAGTCTTTGTGTCTAAGAGCAGAATACATTGAGGAACATATCTGACTTTCTATTGTCATATCAGGAATGAAGTCACCACCAATTTTGAACTCAGTTCCAGTTTCTACAAATTACAGCACTGAGATTTTTCCAGAGTATTATTAGAACATAGTATAACTACCAGGAGTCGCTAAATCCTCTAGCCCGTGTTGACCCCTTTTCTGGGGACATTAATTCTACTATTCTAAATGCTGAGGTAAACTGGGGTTATGGTCAGGATCTATGGCAACTTAAACTCACACATGCAGTATAAGCTTCAAATTCTTAGGTGGAAATTTAACCTACATTTCCACCCTAGTACCTTTCCGAGCACTCAGAATTAGCAGCAAATGAAATGTATTCACTATTGCAAAAGGACTGGTGATACAGCAGCTAAAATTACATTTCCTTGAAATCAAGTCACACTTGCAAAAAGCTCTTTTTCAAGGCTCATCGTGAAGAGTTCAGTAGGGAAATGATAAGTGACACTGCCCTAACACACCTATACACCACGCCGTCCCCACCTTCTGCTCTTGATTATTAAGGCTGAAGTTGATGTAACTGGCATCAAGATGCCACCCTCTGATCTTCACAGATGAACACATCCATCAGCATGTCATGTAGGCGTCAGCTAAGGATGGGATGACTTACGTCTTTCTCAGCATTGGCACAGTCTTAATGATTATGTAAATGTATCTGAGGGCTGTTAACTTGTAATGAAGGAAGAAAATATGTCCTGTTAATGCATCAGTTTGCGAGATGTGTGATAGCATTCTCTTTCTCCCAACAGCATGGCATGGACATCCCCTCCATTTCTATTATGCTTCATGAACTCATCAAATTACTTCACCACCCATGGTGTGATGTCACTATTATCAAAACTGGCACATCAGGAGGAATAGGTGAGATGGATTGATTTCTACCATTAAAACTGAGTGGTCCTTACATACCTGGTAGCTGCCAAAATATATCCACATACTCAGAGCCCAGCAGAAACCCAGGTGGGTTAAAAAGAGTCAGGAGGTTGGACTTGAGGAAATTTACCCACATTGCCTTTTTCTTTTCTTCCTCCTTTCCTTCATGTGAACACAGAGGTGTTCCTCTTGCCAGATGGTCTTGCCAGATGGTCTTAGGTGTTTATAAGAGGGATGAGTAGAAGAACTGCTAGAAAATATGTTTTGAGAGTAGGGGTACATGTTAAGGTTTAGGAATTGTATAAGTGACAGAAATAGGTGTGTTCAAATAAAAAATAACCACACAGATTTATCAGTTTTATCAGCTAAGTAAGCAGACTGCATGGCTCTTAGAAAAACATTGCAGCCGGGCTCGGTGGCTCAGCCTGTAATCCCACGCCTTTGGGAGGCTGAGGTGA